TACTTGCTGAAGCTTCTTGGTGGCTAATTCATTATCCAAATCAACAAATAGGTTTTCTTCCATATCTTCAACAAGTAGAAAAGAAAACTCAAGAAGTTTGAAGACAGAAGAATATGACAAACTCTTGAAAAAACTCTTTTTAGTTGAAAACTCACAAAACCAAAACTTCTCTCACCGTTTTGATGTTCCCAAAACCAATTTTCGACAAAAAATAGGAGATTTGGCTATTCCATCAAAAGATCAGTATTGTTTATTACTTTCATATTCAGTGATTCTGTAATATGAACACAACAAATACGTGGCTATATAGAAAGTAATTTATTTCTTATTTGGGAACATGGTCCTGGTACGTTGAGGACTCGGAAGATTTTTAAGAACTTATATACCAATTAGACAAGACAAGACTGGGAGAACACGTAAAGTCAATATATTTGTTATATTTTGAAATAGAATATGGATTTAAAGTTGGGACGATAAAAAGAATTTGAGATATGCAGTCTAATGACAAAGTCATGTGTATATAATTTTTAACTCTTAGTACAGGTTAAAGTATATCTAGCTTAGTTTTCTTTTTATATATCAGCTAACTTCTATGTAATTACTATGATCAAGTAGATAAGTATCCTGGTTAGCAGGTACCAATTTGTTAAATAAGTTCTTTAGTTTTATAACTAGTACTTTAGATTTTTTTTATTAGTTTAATTGCTTTCTTATCTGTTTTCTTTTAAAACTATCTCCCTTCTCATAATTCTTCTTATTCTATTTAATATTTGAGTTTTTTGTTAGAGAATTTTTTTTCAGATTGGTAATATGTTATATAGGGCAATGATACTGACAAGGTCGGTGAGCACCTACTGCAGACTCTTGGAGTATAAATTTTCAATAAGTTGGGAATCCCAGATGAAATAAAGATGAACCACTTAGGTGAGTCACATCTGGGTCTTTCTTGCAGAACTTATTTTTAGGTTTTTGTTAATAGATCGAGTGATTCTTTATTAATATAGACATAATATAGCATACTAGATAGATTAGTCTCTATAGAAGTATAGCTATCAACATAGTCTTGAAGGGGTATTTTCCTAGCAAAGATTCCATATGGTTCATAAGGGCGCATTATGTTCTGATAACAATTTCATAGTGATGTGATATAGTGGGTGTTCATTATTGTTAGCTATCAAAAAGATCATGTCTCATTTTCTCGAAAACTGTTTTCTCGACATGTTATTTACTTGACATTATGATGAGTAACAATTTACTAACAATATATATCTACAACTAATAAATGCTAAATTGTTACTCTTTGTGATATCGAGTAAATGACATGTTAAGGAACTAGTTTTAGAGAAAATGTACGTATACTATTAAAAAAAAACTAATGATTATAAATTAAATTAAAAAATTAGACCATACAAATTTAATTGGTTTTGTAATATAAAACTTCTAAAGACCCAGCTAGCTTTTTTTAAATTTCATATAAAAAATTTTAAAACCACCCAGTTATTAAAACATAAATTTTTTTTAGAAATTTTTAAATTTTAATCTGGCTAGGTTATGAAAACCAATTAATTAATTTTGCACAGTCTTATAATTAAATCAAGATTATTACTATTGTATTGTATAGTATTAAAATTATATAAAAAAGTGTTATTAATCTAATATTACTATATTTAGGAATGATTAGAAAAATTTGACAAAAAAATAAAAGAATTAAATCGTAACGTCTTACTTATCATAGATAGTGCCTCTTCATATGCTACTAGTGCTCTCACTCTAACTAACACAAAAGTGCTTAAACTATCTCTGTATACAACATCAAAGATACAGCCCATAGACGCTAGCATTATCGCATCATTTAAGCTTCATTATCGTCATATGCAACTTCAACGTGCAATTGATCATGATGAAGCTAGAGAAAGTGATATATATCAAATTGACCAATTGCAAGCTATGAAATGGATAAAGGTTGCTTGGGGTGAAATATTTGTTAGAACTACCATATAATTCCCAAAATAAGCTATGCTGAAAATAAGCTACTTTCTTGTTTAGGATAAGAAAAGTAAAAAATATCTTTTACCTGAAAGAAGCTACCCTCATAAATAATAATTGTAGCTACATAGTAAAGTCAAAATTTAACTAAGTAAATCGACTTATCTTATTAAGTAAAAGTTATTCAAGAGATCAAAATACATATATCTTGAAAGTTTTATGTTAATTGAAGAACTTTTTATTAATTGACTTTGGCATATTACGTTCGCTGAAAAATTTAAAAATTTCTTTAAAATTTATATTCGTTGAGCGTAAAAATCAAAAGTCAATTAATAAAAAGTTCTCCGATTTACATAAAACTTTCAGGATATATGCATTTTGATCTTCTGAACAACTTTCACTTAATAAGGTAAGCCGATTTACTTAGTACAATTTTTCGTAAATATGAAAGCCGGCTTTTACCCAATAATAAGCTACCTTTAATATTTTTGGGTAATTTTTCCAAAAAAAAAGGTAGCTTATTTTGGGAATTATACGGTATCAAGAATTGCTAGTTATACATGAAAATTATATCCCCTCATGATGAAGATGGAATGCCTATTGACCCACTACCTCTTTATGAAGATGAAATGTCTGTTGTCCTACCTTCTTTTGTTGAAAATGTAGAAGACTTACTTGTTGAAGATATGGAAGAAAACCTATTTGTTGATTTGGATAATGAATTAGCCACCAAGAAGCTTCAGCAAGTA